TCCTACTCCTACTACTACAACTACTACGACTACTACTACTACTACTACTACTACGACGACGACTACTACTACTACTACTACTGCTGCTACTGCTACTACTACAACTTACAACTACTATCACTGCTGCTGCTGCTACTACTACTACTACTCCTCCTCCTCCTCCTGCTGCTGCTGTTGCTTCCGACTGGCTCCTTACTCCGCCCGCTCCCGCTGCTGCTGCTGCTGCTGCTGCTGCTGCTGCTGCTGCTGCTGCTGCTGCTGCTGCTACAGCTACAGCTACAGCTGCAACTACAGCTACTGCTACCGCTACTACTCAGCGACGACAAGGTCCATCGATATCTCCATCTATGGCCAAGCATCGTCACTCATCGCCACAGTTGTCATCACCACGATCGTACGCCTCAACCTCGCTCTCGGCTTCGGAACCGCCTCACTCATCATCTTTGTCTCCACCAGCATGACTCATCATGACCATCACTTCGTCGTCACCAACTGCGAGGCGACAACCTACCAGTAACAGCATGCTCGAAGAAACGGCGAGGATCTGTGGCTTCTACGTCACGGTTCAGAATGCCCTCCACTCTTCTGCAAAAACCTCTGCTTTTTTGTCAAGTGCCGGCTGAGGTGCGTAAGCTGCGGGCCTTAATTTTAAGCTGCTGAACACATGCAACCCTTAAACCTAGACCCTTCTCCCTAAATTTGAGACCCCAACCCTTCTCCGGGGCCCATGCGACCCGACCGATGTAGCGTTCTCGGCCAACCCGTCCTGCTGGATGGTTCTCCCCCACAGCCCCACAGAGCCCTTAAAAAGAACTTGCAAACACCGGTGGCAACCCTATGAAACCCGTAAACACCTGTGAAAGTGCCTGTAAGAATCTAAGAAGCCCATAGAAAGATGCATATTAAAACAGGGTTACCTTTGCCCTACTGTACTGCTTAGGGCTGCAGCTGCCGAGGCAATGGGTTTGGGTTACTGAGCCACATGTGGATGAAAATTGGTTAAAATGTTTCGGGACTATGGTTCCTCGTGTTTGGGCTTTAGCGGCTTTAGGGTTGCAAATAGTGACACAACTGTTAGATAAGTGGAGTCTAGAACACTCCGATGAGCATGGGACAAACCAAACTCAAGAACAGCCATTCCACTCAACTAGTACTGCATGCTGTATGTGCTTCTGGTACAAGGCACGCGGAGAAATTGTAGCCGAAAACCGACACTTCTGAAAATGTGCATGTTGAACCGCTTCTAGGAACGGATGCGTTTAGTGACGTTCCAGACTCACCACACGAAGCAAAACCAGCCGAAACCACCGTACTCAGAATACGCGCCCCCGAAAGCCAAAACTCTAAGTTGTTGGTTTCCGGTGATGAAGCCAACACCCCCATCAACGACCCGAACTGCTACGGAGCACCGCTGCTATTCCGCTCGTCCTGCGATCACGGCAGAAACCACCACTTGAGGCAGCACCAGGGCAGCGGCAGTGGCAGCCGCTACAGCAAAAGCCAGCGTTAGCAACACCAACCACAACCACCAACACCAACGCCAACGCCAAGACCCTTATACTAAGACCTGCAGAAGATGCAGGGACTCAGGCTACCCACCTGTGAGAGCTGCAAAAGTTGCAGAGGCTCAGTTGCCTTAACTGTCACAGCCGGAGAAGTTGCAAAGGCTCAGGCCCCAAAACTGCGACAGCAGTTGGAGCTGCAAACTCGACGGGGAAGAAACTGCTAAAGCACAGGTGGTCGGATAGTACGAAAACGCCGTAAATACTATGCAGAACGCAGGTGCTGCCAAGAAGGTTTTGACACTCCTAAAACCCTGAAGCGCAACATCTTATAAACATCAAACACAACGATGCCAGTGGGGGGAGCTCGGCAACTCCCCTAAAGCCCAGACCTCGGCGTAAGAGGGTTTGCTTTTGAAGTACGGTGTGGTGTGTGCGCGCTTGGTGTGAGATGTTGTTCATGGTGTCCGCGAAACAGTGTCGTGATCATCCCCTGAACAAGCTTCCCCAACTCAATTTCGAGCTTTTGCCGAAGCCCTCCGAAATCCCAAAGTCGAGTTCGCAACGCCCAGAAGTAGGTTTAACGACTGACATCACGAAAGTACTGCAAATACCTAATAAAACGGCTCTTGTGGAGATGTTGATCGGGGTGTCTGTGTAACAAT